TAGGGATTACCGAGGTTTGGTCTTAGTGCCTATACTATTTGTGTGGGCAGTATGAGTTTATAAATGCAATGAGTCATCGAATTCAACGGCCACTTCTAAGTGCTTGTATGTAACCTATGGACCAGAGTTAGCCCATATTATAGGATAATGATCAATTTAACTTTCCGGTTAATTACGAGGGAGTCTGTGTTTCGATTTAATTAATTAACAACCAACCATCGTTGCAAAGAATGGCTCTTTTATTTATTTGAGCTCAGGAGGAATTTGCAATATTTTGAATGGCTGGCCTCGGCGGGTGAACATATCTGTCCTCTGCTTGACTTGACAATTAATTTTACTCTGAGGATTAGTGTGGGATTTAGTACCTTTGTCATGCCAGCTTGGCATGCTGTCTCTTAAGGATTGCACTCAACGACAATATGAATATATTTTGCTAACTTATTTAGGATTTCATTCGTTTCAAGTTTTATGTATCTCTTTACATGCATCTCTTCAGGCCATGATCTGAATATCTTTACATCAATATGTGCTATAACTAAATATGAAACGTATATACTCTAAAGAAAATTTTCGCTAATCCTTGTTTTTAGGGGATTTTATTTAAAAAGCATGAAACCACTATTATGCAATATATGGCCCATGCGATCCACCTAAAAACAATTCTATATCCCTCTTTCAATTTGTTATTCTAAAGGCATGACTTTCTTTAAACATCACATCTGTCCTGCGACCTGACACCCATGACTTTTCGTCTCATTGGTAACTTTTAACCACTTAGCGCGCATGACCCTGTCTTGAATCCTGTTTGAGGTGGTGATGAGACTTATACAAGGTTGAAACTGCAGCCCACTTTGGATTATGAAACCTTCTCTAATATTAGGCCGTGAAATTTAATGATATCTTTGGGCCAACTTATTTTACTGTGAAATTGCATAATTAGCCCCTAAATTAAACTAAGCAATCTTAAATGGTCAAGGTTCTTAATTGTGTTACACATCTGTAAAAGATAAATTATTTTCCCACACCCTAGTGACCCCATAAATGGCCAAGAAGCAGAGCTATCTAACACCCAGAATGAAATGCCTCTTTCTACGTTGCGTCGTTTCATTGCTTACTGTCGTCAGCGTTGTGGACCTCGACTTTCTGAGAGGGCGGCGGAGAAACTGGCAAACCAGTATGTATTGATGCGCTCTGGAACCCTGAGGCATGAGCAGGAGACGGGAAAGAGGTGTGCTATTCCAATTACTATCAGGTAAGGAGTGTTAATAGCTTTTTGGCTATACACGATCTCTTTTTGTTCAAGAATTTTTAGTTTTGTGTCATCTTCAAATCTTTTATTTAGGCAGCGTTCAAAGATCTTGGTTCAATTTCACTGCTATGTACACTATTTACAATATTGTTAACATGTACCCGAATTGATTTAAAAGTAACTTAATGATTATCGAAAGTAAAAGCCAAGCTGGTGCCTATACTATTTTGCCGCCGTTCCATCTCTGTATATATTTGGTGTGATCTTGTTTTCGCAACTTGGTTGTGATGTCATTACAACT